ATTAGTCACCTAGAGGGTGTGACCTCTTCTTCCAACCCTTCAAAGAACTCAATCTCTTCTGCATTTGATCATTCAGGTATATGGGCTTCTGCCAATCATGCAACCATTTCAGGTAATCGTAGGATCCCTTGGATTATTGATTCTGGTGCTTCTGATCATATGACCAGCCTTTCTACTTTGTTTGTTTCATAAGGTTTACTTCCTGGACGTGACAAAATCACCCTAGTCGATGGCTCTCTTGCCCCTATCTCCTGCAAGGCAACCATCAAGGCTACAGACTCCTTGGTTCTTCCTTCTGCTCTTCATGTACCCAGACTAAATACAAACATGTTATCTGTAAGTAGCCTAACTAAGTCATTAAACTGTTGTGTAACCTTCTTTCCTTCCTATTGTGTTTTTCAAGATCTGGAGTCTCAGAAGGTGATTGGGAGTGGCCGTGAGGCAAATGGAATATACCTCCTAGATACTCCTGGACAGTGCCATGAACAACCCGGAAAAGCTGCTTTTGGGTCTACATCTATAGAGTCTATCAGTCGAGTCATGTTATGTCATTTTCGTTTGGGTCATCTTTCTTTTTCTGCATTGACTCATTTATTCTCAGAACTGTTTAAGGGAATTAGTTTGTCCAGTCTTCATTGTGAGTCTTGTGAACTATCAAAACATTGTAGAAACAATTATCCTTTGAGTAATAATAGATCTTCTTCTCCTTTTGATATTGTGCACTCTCATGTGTGGGGGCCTTACCATTTACCCTCTATGGGTGGATACAAATATTTTATCTTGTTCATTGATGAATTTTCCCGGTTCACTTGGATATTTTTGATGAAATCCCGTGATGAAGTTCCCAGATTTGTGAGACAATTCCATGAATTTGTCCTAACCTAGTTTGATACCAAGATTAAAATTTTCAAATCCGACAATGCAAAAGAATATTTTGAGAAAAACTTGTCCTGCTATCTCACTGATTTAGGGGTTATTCATCAAAGCTCATGTGTTAGGACCCCAGAACAGAATGGAGTTGCTGAAAGGAAAAATAGACATATTGTTGAAGTTGCAAGGAGTATCCTATTTGCCTCACACGTCCCTACAAAGTTTTGGGGTGATGCCGTTCTCACTGCCACCTACCTTATAAACCGTATGCCATTCAAGGTTTTAGGTTTTAAGGCTCCCTTCAGCCTCCTTCATCCAGACAATGATCTTTTCCCTATTCCTCTTAATGTCTTTGGCTGCACTTGTTATGTACATATTCCAAGTGTCCAAAGACATAAATTTGAACCAAAAGCCCACAAGTGTATCTTCCTTGGTTATTCCCCCACACAGAAGGGTTACTGTTGTTTTGATCCGAAAACTGGCACTCGGTATGTCTCAATGGATGTCACATTTGATGAGATTTCTTCCTTTTATGGTTCCTCTCTAGAGAGACATTGTCCAAAGGGAGAGGATTTGTCATAGGTGTTCGTTCTTCCTCTTCCTGTCCCAGTTGAGTCTTTTGATGAGTCGATTCCTCCTTCAAATGAATCAAGGGAGGATCAGTCACTTCACTCTGATTCCAGTGTTCGTATTCCTCCCCCTTTACCTCCTCGCCTTCTTTTTAATCCCAGGATGTATCAAAGGCAAAGAACCAGAAATGAGCAGACTGTTTCCCCTACCACACATGAGCCTCATGCACTTTCAGTCATAGATGAGACAACAGGTACTGTTACAACTCCTTTGGTGCCATCCT